GAGTCTGCCCCAGCTTCCCTCTCCCTTTCCCTCTGCTCACTGGGGGCTGTCTCACCCCCATCTTTGGGAGGACCAGACAGGTCTCAGAGTGTCCTGACTAGAGAGCATCGGTGCTTTAGACCCACCATTCAGGCTGGAAGAATATGGGAGTCAGGCGGGTGCGGGGCCCACCTGGCCCCACAGGCCTCTGTGTCACTCCAGATCCCTTTGAGCAATGACAGAACCATACCTTGAGCCTGCTAAGACCCAAGTGCTTCCTGAGACCCAGGAGACCAATGTACGGCTGATTGGCAACCGAGACTGCCAAGGCCTAACTCGCCCCTCCAGGGGAGGCCTTAGTCCTGGGCTGGAGAGAATATACACCAGGAAGGGGTGTTGCCTGCCTGTGACACAGGTGCCAGGAGACACAGTCACTTCATGTGCCACAGCTTTTTGTTATAGTTTGTTTTTCTGTTTTGTTTTTTCAAGACAGGGTTTCTCTGTGTAGCCCTGGCTGTCCTGGAACTCACTCTGGAGACCAGGATGGCCTCGGCATTACCATTCTAGTACATGTCACATATCAAGAGCTAGAGAGCCTCAAGTCCCTCCCTCCTATGCAGTGGCCAATTGTTTGTATGGAGCCCACACATCCTCCTGATTTGCTAAGCGATGTCTGCCTGGTTTGTGGTGGGACACAGGGTTGAGCTCTGGCTCTCATGAAGCCTGTCCTCTCAAACTCACCATGTAATGACGGATGGCCTTGAACTCCTAGTCTTCCTGCCTCTGACTTCCAGATTCTAGCAGCTGGCTATGTTATTTAGTTGGGGGGAGCTTTTTGTTATTGTTTGTTTTTCTGTTTTGTTTTGTTTTTTTTCAAGACAGGGTTTCCCTGTGTAGCCCTGGCTGTCCTGGAACTCACTCTGGAGCCCAGGATGGCCTCGGACTCAGAGATCCATCTGCCTCTGCCTCCCGAGTGCTGGGATTAAAGGTGTGCGCCACCACCACTGGCTTTGTTTTGTTCTTTCAAGACAGAGTTTCTCTGTGTTGGGCACTCGCTCTGTAGTCTAGGCTGGCCTCAAGCACAGAGATCCATCTGCCTCTGCCTCCCGAGTGCTGGGATTAAAGGTGTGTGCCACCACCAACCAGCAAATGTTTAGAAATTTGATATCACCATGTCCCACCTCAGCCAGCAACTGCTGACAATACAAAAAGAGAGGTGACCAGAGGTGACGTGTTTGGTGGATGGAAGGAAGGCTCTGGGAAAAAAAGCTCAAATCAAATGATAACACCCTCCAAAACAGATTCTGATTAAATGTATATGACAAATCTCAGTTGACAGGAAACACAGGGGACAAAAGAACACATGAAATCACACAAGAAGGCATGGTGGCATGTTTTTGCAATCCCATACTGGAGAGACAGATTGGTGGATCCCTGGGGCTCACTGGACAGCCAGTCTCACAAATTGCAAGTTCCAGGACAATTGAGAAACATTGTCTCAAAAGGAATATGCTTGAGCTGGGGATACAGCTCAGTGGCAGAGTGTTTGCCTAGTATACACAGAGACCTGGGTTCAAGCCTCTGCACTGCCAGAAAAAATAAATAAATAACAATGGTTTTGGACAGGAAAGATGGCTCAGTGGTTAAGAACACTTTCTGTTCTTCCAGAAACCTGAGTGCAGTTCCCAACACCCATGTCAGGTAGTCACAACTACCTCTAACTCCAGCTCCTGGGAACCTGATGCCCTCTTCTATCCTCTTTGAGCACCTACATACAAAGGGCACACATACAGAGACATACACACAACTACATACACTTAAGAAATAAAAATAAGCCGGGACGGTGGTGGCCCACACCTTTAATCCCAGCACTTGGAGGCAGAGGCAGGTGGATCTCTGTGAGTTTGAGGCCAGCCTGTTCTACAAGAGCTAATTCCAGGACAGTCAGGGCTACACAGAGAACCCTGTCTCAATAATAAATATTAGCCAGGTCTGGTGGCTGCAGGGCCATGCTCTTAGCTGTCCTCTCCCCACAGACAGATCCCTTCCTGGGCATGATGATGGGCTTGGGCGGTGGCATGGATTTTGACTCCAAGAAAGCTTACAGGTAAGGCCTGGGCTCTGGTGGTGGAGAGAGCTTGGGGAGAGCAGGCTGAGGTGGGAGAGAAGACAGAAGGCTGGTCAGGCCTCAGCCCATTCTCTAACTGCTGCTCACAATGCAGAGATGTGGCCTGGCTTGGTGACTGTGACCAAGGCTGCCTGGCCCTGGCTGACCTCCTCGGATGGAAGGTGAGGAACTGGGCCACCCCAGCCCACCCTGAGCCCAGCCCCATGAGGATGTATGGTAACCTCTGACTTCTGTGACCTTTGCCCCCTGCAGAAGGAGCTGGAAGACCTTGTCCGGCGGGAGCATGCCAGCATAGATGCCCAGTCAGGGTCACAGGCCCCTAACCCCAGCACTGCCACCTCCCCTAAGAAGTCCCCCCCTCCAGCCAAGGAGGCGGCCAGGACCAAAGAGAGAGAGGAGCACCAGTGACCACTACCTCCCAAGCAGGACAGTGGAGCCCAGCCAGCACTGGTCCCTCTAACATGGAGCTGGTGTGGGGCTCAGTAGATCCTTCATTCTCTTAACCGCTTTCTTGAAACCAGGGTCCCCAACTCAATCCCAGAAAGTTCTAATATACCTGAGGGCTGAGGCCTGTGCAGCCCACAGCCTCTAACCACCCAGGGCTAACTCCTAACTACTTCCAGAGATCAGGTTACCCCAAAACTCCTAACTGTGCCAGAGTGCTCTCAGGGGGTTGCTGTGGCTAAATCTAATTAACCTGCCCCAATGGGGGCTGAACTTCTCTAGTGAAATGTAACTTCACCCAGGGGGTGGGGCCTGTGGGATCCCTGAGCCTGAAGGCCTCCCAACTCTCGGCCTCCAACAGACAAAGTGGGTGCTGGCCTCCCTTTCCTAGGGTCCCACTTGCCAGCCAGTGGGGGATGAGCAGGAGACCTTGTTTATTGGAAACACATTAAAAAACAAAACAAAACAACTAACCATGAGCTGTGTGGTCTGTGCGGGTACCAGCAGCAGCTGTGGGGAGGGGAGGGGTCCGTAAAGACACCAGACCAACAGTCTGTGGCTCCAGGATCCTAGGATAGTGGAGGGGGCAGGGGCAAGAGGATGGCCCCTGAGGACGGTGGTCTGGTGACTTTTCACCTTGGCTTTTGGCCTGCCAGAGGTCCACTCCTCCAAAAGGGGAGCCCTTAGCTGATCCCCGGAAAGGGAGAGGAAGGTGATAGCAGACGCCCCCAGCCCCGCCTCTTCCCTTGCATGTCGGCTTCCTCTCTAGAGAACACTTTCGCTTCCTGCTTTGCAGACTCCCCTCGGAACAGGTAGGGCCCCCAGGGACCCAGCATCAGGCTTCTGCACACACAGCAGCCTCCATGCCACCCTGGCCAGCACCACCCATGTCTGGATCTCCTCCCAAGGGTCCTGGAGGGGAGGAGCACCTGCCTTCCCCTCTCCACCCAGACATGTGCCTATCCTGCCCCCCTGACACTGAAGCCTCATGTCAGCGGCTAATTGATTTATATTACTTTTAATTATCTGGCTTGCACACAACACCCTAACAGAAGTGGAACCTTCTGGAAAGGGCTAGCCCACTTATCAGCCCTCCTCCCAGGCCAGTCACCTAATGCTGGGCCTATGCTGAATAATTCATGTGGACAGATGGGGGGTTGGGGAAAATATTCAAAAGGGCTCACCCTGAGCTGAGAATCCCTTATAAGGCTGCCTTCTTGGTGAAGAAGACAGGGTATAGTGTGGACGCGTTGGCACCTGCCTGTGATCCCAGGCGGAAGGTCGAGAGTATGAAGCTAGCTAGCCTCTACTACAATACACAGCAAGTATGAGGCAAACCTGGGCTACAAGAGTCCCTGTCTCAAAAAGAAGAAAGAAAAATTAAGGTTGGGCCAGGCAATAGTGGCACACACCTTTAATCCCAGCACCCTGGAGGCAGAGGCAGGCAGATCTCTGTGAGTTTGAGGCCAGCCTGGTCTCCAGAGCAAGTTCTAGGACATCTAGGGCTGCACAGAGAAACTGTCTTAGAAAACAACAAAAAGTTAAGGTTTGACAGATAAATGGGTAGCTCAGATGTGGGATGAGTAAAAGCAAGATTTTCACAGAAGAATCCAGATATTGGTCATATGGCAGTCTCTAGAATATTCTTTCAACTTTTCTATATATTTAGAATTTATAAAAAATTATAGTCAAGGCTGGGCATGGTGGTGCATGCCTTTAGTCCCAGGACTTGGGAGGCAGAGGCAGGTGGATCTGGGAGTCTGAGGCCAATCTGGTCTACATCGAGAGTACTGGGACAGCCAGGATTACATAGTGAAACCCTGTCTCCAAAAAAGAAAAAAAAAAACTTATATAAAATGTGGGGAGGGTTGCTAGGCCTCCTCTGAAGTCTAGGAAAGGAGGAAGTGGGTGTCACATTGCATCTGCATAGAGAACTCTATTGTGAGCCAAGACCTTTTCTAGGCTCTGGTTTTAACCGTGGCAGTTATCCAGCTGGCACACACACATATGATTACAAATACCTACGTGAAGTTCAAGGAAAGTCCCCTTCTGTCCTTCTGTAAGTTCCTGTTGGGGATGCTGCCCCCCCCTCAAGATACATGGGCCTTTCTCCTGGGGTCTCCAGAGTTGCCTGCCACTCAGCAACTAAACAACTGCATAGTGGCTCATGCCTATAATCTCAGCACTTGAAGTACAAGGATTGCCAGGAGTCTGGAGCCAGCCTGGACAACAGACAGGTCCAAGCTAGTCTGAGCTGTTTCGAAAAAAAAAAAGAGAGAGAGAGAGAGAGAGAGGGAAAGAGAAAGAAAGAACGAAAGAAAGAAAGAAAGAAAGAAAGAAAGAAAGAAAGAAAGAAAGAAAGAGAAAGAAGAGAGGGGGCTGGGCGGTGGTGGCGCCCGCCTTTAATCCCAGCACTCGGGAGGCAGAGGCAGGCGGAGGTAGGTGAATTCGGAGACCAGCCTGGTCTACAAGAGCTGGTTCCAGGATAGGCTCCAAAGCAACACAGAGAAACCCTGTCTTGAATAACCAAAAACAAACAAACAAAATAAATAAATATAAGGAGGAGGAAGAGAGAGATGTATTGGCCAGTGTATTTGTGTTAGTAGCCACACCCCTTTGGGTGTGGCTTCGGCAGAAAGAGAAAAGCGTGAGGTGGGGGGCTCACTCTCTGGAGCTCTCTTTCTTGGATCTTGGGTCAGACCCGAAGGGCAGAGAAAGGCCTCGGCGGTTCTTTATTATTATCTGTGTAAGTTGTTCCCCAATAAAACACCCATTTATCATTTTTCTTGGGTTTAGTGGACTCATTATCACCTGCCTTCAATTGGCACCCGATATAGGACACAAACCCACAACTATGAGAGTAAGAGTCTCATGCTCTACTGCTGAGGGAAAAGAAAAAGAAAGGAAGAGAAAAGAAAAAAAGAATAGCTCCCTGGTTGTTGGTGGTGCACACCCTTAATCCCAGCACTTGGGAGGCAGAGGCAGGTGATCTATGTGAGTTTGAGGCCAGCCTGGTCTACAGAGCTAGTTCTAGGACAGCCAAGGCTACACAAAGAACACAAAGAAACCCTGTCTTGAAAACAACAAAACCAAAACACAAACAAAAAAAGAATGGCTCTTGGCATAGCTGGGACTTCTGAGGTCTATTCTGATCAGGCAAGGTCCCTGAGCCAGCTGCAACCATTAAAATGTTAGCCCTTGCCCTAGCTGGAGCAGCCTTGAGTCTTGTCTTCGTCCATGCCAGAGGCCAGAGCATGGCTCACTGGTGCCTGGCAGCATGAGGACTGCCCAGCCGGAGGACATGGTGTCTGCAGCCCCAACTGAGGGGGACAGGTGAGACTACCCAATGACACCCCCCATCTTCGGTCTTTTGTCCCTGGGCTATCCCTGCCTCTTGCACCCCGAGTCAATGGCCAGCTTCTACTACGACCCTTAACCCGGAATCTGTATCCCAGACTGTCTTGGACACTGACAGATGGAGCCGGCAAGAGCCCACTGGGGGTCCTCACTACCCCAGAGCCACTTCTTCGACTGCAGAGGACACAGAGGGTGTGGCAGGTCCCAGAGCTGGATGCTCAGCATGCCAAGGCCTTTCTTGAGCTGTGGCCACTGGGGGTGAGTACTCACATCTCTGGATCACTTCTGACCTTCCTGTGTCAACTTGCATCTGGTAGGTGACCAAGGCAATGCGACAGGCTGGTCCCCAACACACTATGTAGCACTAGCTGACCTGAATTTCTGATCCCCTTGCCTTCCCATCCCCTGAATACTAAGATCTAAGATTACGTACGTACGTACATACGTGTGTGTGTGTGTGTGTGTGTGTGTGTGTGTGTGTGTTGGGGGCGGGAGGGGGAAGCTGGAGAGATGGTTCAGAGGTTAAGAGCACTGACTGCTCTTCCAGAGGCCCTGTGTTCAATTCCCAGCAACCACAGGGTGGCTCACTGCCATCTGTAATGAGATCTGGTGACCTCTTCTGGCCTGCAGGTTTACATGCAGACAGAGCACTGTATACACAGTAAATAGTAAATTAATAAGGCTTAAATATTTCACCTGGGCCGGGCATTGGTGGCGCACGCCTTTAATCCCAGCACT